CATAGTATCAGTATCGCCCTGTGTGGCCACTCTGATTTGATTCAATGTGTTGTCGGACCACGCGGATCCGCCTCGTGTGGGTCCGGCCTAAGGTAGGCCAGGTAGGCCTGTAATTGAAAGTTACTTTTTCACACGGGTTAAAAGTAATTAAAATACTACCTCAACCTCACTACTGCACACTTTATTCGTGTTGAAATTTTCATTAACAAAGGTGCTCTTGTCTTTTCCACGAAACACTGAGGAATAAGGACATTAATGCGTTACCAACAGACATACACACACAAATACTGAATTGAATTGGGGGATTTGCTACGCTTTAACCAAAGCAAATTACAAGCAAAATAATTATTTAAAAGTTTTGATCTAATATATAAAATTCTCGTGTCACAGTGTTTGTCTGCAAACTCCTCCGGAACGACTTCACCGATCATTATGAAATTTGGTGTGTAAATTCTGTAGGTATGCGAATCGGAAGTAAACTATTTCCCGTTTCGAAATTCTTAAAAGGGCTTAGCCCCAGTGGCTCTGGAGTTTCCCATGTTAACCTTATGAGAAATGGAATTAATGAATCTTAACAGCTGTTTCAATTAAACAAGTTGGTTCTGTTCTATGATGTTCAATAGCATTAAAGTTACAAGGATTACCAACAGGGTGCAGCACTATTATTTCTTTTACATTTATGACAACAGCTAATTTGCAACCAAAAGGTGAGTGAGCGTAGCGAACGAGCTCCAACCCAAAGGTGAGTGAGCGTAGCGAACGAACTTCAACCAGGACGTGATTGAGCGATGCGAACGAGATCATCTTGAAAAGTAAACGTAACGGTACTTTCTTTCCATCGGTCTGTCATAGGGGAAACCTATAACTTAGGCGATACGAAGTTCGCCGGGTCAGCTAGTAGTGTTATAAAATTTTATCATAATCGTTTTAGGCCTAATCAAACTGTAAAATTGGTGTAAATCCGTTGGCAAATATATACTTTATACTTTACTTTATACTTTCCTTTGAAATGGCGACCATACAAAGTATTTATTTTAAGCCAAGTATGAATGGAGATGAGTGTAGGATGAGTGGCGTCTTGTAGTCTTGTTAGTGACTATGGCCGACATTCCTTAGACACAGCTGTTAATTAATAGCCCATACAGCTTATGGCGACTAAGGGACCTACAGTTTATAGTGGAATCCGAACCACTTTTTTTCCTTGACGAATCGGTCTAATTATCAGGATAGTACTGCGGATAGTCGTAGTACTCACCTGTGCGGACGTTAATCCACGCCAGGGAGTATCGCATCCACAGTGCATGCCTATAAATAACCACAATTTGTGACCTCCTAGTAGCTGGATTACAGGACGACGCCACCCGTCCCAGTCTTATTTATAAATAAGTAAATAAATACACAGTCCACAAAACATTAATACGTTAACAACGCCAAGCTTTAAAAATTCATTATGGTTTGCTAAAAAAATCTTTCACTGATGTTTTATCATTTTCATAGCATAAACTAATATTTTGGATACCAGACAGAAAACACAAAAAAAATATACAGTAAGACATCAATTAAATTTAATAAGAAATAAGGTGCAGCACTAACGATAACTATAGTTGTAAATAGTCATGTGTTTGTACGTAAAAATGGTTCTTAACTGCTACCACTGGTTTTAAGGAAAAGTAGCAGTACCAAAAACCAACGTTTACATTTAAGAAAAGAACTATAGTACTTACGACAAATTCAAACTGTCCTTCTAATCAAACTGTATTATAGGTGTTAATCCGTTGGCAAATATAAAAATAAATAAATATATACATGCCACAAAAAACTCACTATGGTTTGTTCAAAAAAACTTTCACTTGATGTGGTGCAGTTCCAAAGTTATTAATCTCCCTTGTTTTAATTTTTATTAAGTTTTCGAAAATCAAAGTTATTTCCCATTAATATTATTATTTGTAAGCAACTTTTAATGTTAAGATATTAATGACAGTTTGAAGAAACCACCTTTATCCAAACAAAGGTTTCTTATTTAAAAGATTACGTTATCTCTAAACGATAATCGGTACATATATATCTAACAAACATTCGGAGGAAATGTGACAAAAAACGCACAAATCTGGGGGTTTGGATGTTTGTAGTTTTACTTCCTAGTAGTAGGAAAAGTCGTTGTCGAAATGTAAGTAAGTAGAAACCAAAAGTGACACATTGGAAAAGCATGTTTAGCTAGTAGCATTGACTATAAATCCTTAAGAATTTATAGTCAATGCTATTCAATGATGCTAGTAGCTACATAGGCTATTTCACATGTTACAAAACTTTAGTAATCCTATCTCAATTTTCTTGATTATATAGTTTCATTACAGTTAATTAAAACAATAGAATTTATGATGGAAATAAATTACTTCAATCATTATTCATCATCATGCTTTAGTTTGATTTTCAGTTTGGTCACCAAACATCAATATATGTGTTCTAAAAATACTTTCAATAGTTTTAGATATAATCATAAAGTTTCCTCAAGGTGTCTCTCGACAGGATTAGGCAACTTACAAAATTTAGAGTTATCTACTTCTATTCTACTATAGCCACACTCTCCCTAGTTTCACTGAACTGGGTTTGGTATTTCAGGTTTTCGTAGTCAAAACATTCAAATCAAACACTTCATCTAAGTTTTTCACCTCTATGTGTTTCACTAATTCTTCTAATTAACTTTTCTTTAAGGCTAACATCAATCACTATTACCCAGCTTACTTGACATCTCTTTTACCATCCTTTACATACTTATTGCATGACTCTTTAACTTCGGGTATTTCCATTGAGTTTAAAATTTAAATACAACTTTAAGTCGTCCAAGCCTTGTGTCTAGCCTAGCAATATCTACAAATAAGCTGTTTACATTTAACTCTTCAAACAGGATTTTTAGATCTGAAAACTTAAAAATAAGAACTCTTGGGTTCAAAAAACAGTATTTACAACAAATCTTGGCCTTTTCTGAGTATATTTGCAGTCTTTGTATCATTAGCATTCTTTCCCCTCAATTTAAGTTCATAGAAGAAACTAAACTTTTAACCTAATTTTGAAACAATTAAACTTTTTTACTTTGATTTAAATTACAATTCACTTCAATATCAAATACTGTATAATAAACCATATCATCAATCTGACACATAATTTCTCCCATTAGGGAGTAACTATGATATTTTATAGTGAAAATCACAAAAGGTGCAATAGGAATGAGTTTTATGAATTTGATCCCGTTTTCTGCTAAAATTTGATCTGTGTTGTTTTACAAGGATTTATAGCCAAATCATTTTGAACTAATGATGGAGTGTCTTTTCAGTTGATGATAGTATATCCGCATGTAGTGATTGTGGTGACTTATTTGATAGTAAAAGGATCGTTTCATCTGCATATGTGATCATTTTTATTTCTTTGTTTCCAATGAATCTGGAGAAATCATTTGTGAATAGGATTAATGAAAATGACCCCAGGACAGAACCCTGCATACTGGCAGTACTGGTAGTATTTGGATCTCTGAATTGATTTCCTTCCATTTGTATCGTGCTGAATTTAAACTACATTGTCCGATCCATAACTTAGCTAGCAACACACTCAGGTTTAGTTGCTAAATGTTAAATTTAAATTCTTAAAGTTCCCCTTAATATTATATTTAAGGGATTTTAACAAGTATTCCTAATGTACACAAACATTTTAGGTGTATTATCTTAATACAGAGTATCCATCTTTCTTTGGCTAAAATACATTTTTTTATGTCAGGAATCTATAACGGTGCCCCGGAACTCTCTGGAACATTTATCATACAGTCTGTATAAGTTTGATATAAATTATTTAATAACTCAAGATACTTCAAATTTGGTAAAAATGTGTACCTTATTAGGTCAAATAAGTACAGAAGAATACCGACAAAAGTTTTAAACCATTCGCTATACTGTATGCTAAATAGCATGTTTTTAACAATGTCAGACATGTGGAAACCCAAACTTAAACGACCATTTACTGGTACTCTCACCCTACATAAATGGATTAGTATAGGGATAGACGGGTCTCAAAAACCGGGAAATTTTAAATCTCGTTCTAGAAGACGAGATTCTATTTTGGTCGAGATTTTTTCAAGACGAGATAAAAAAAAATTATTTAAAAATAATTGAAATATAAAACCCCTGCAGAAAGTCAATGCAATACCCGCAATTTACATGAGCGCCGTGATGTTGCGTTTCCTTTGCGAAGGTGTTTTTATTTAATTCTTTACATGGAAATATTGCTTCAATTGTTTTATAATTTTTTTGACATAGCAAATGATGAGAAGTTTTGTTAGTGTTAGCAGTGTGAGACATGTTTTACTACTGTAAACATAGCCAAAATAAGTCACTCCAAAATTATTCTAAAAATAACACAAGACAAAAAATTGTTATTTGATACTTTAACTAGTAATACTGTTGTTTTAGACTTATAAATTTGGTATTTTTCAAAGTTGAACTATACTAACTAAAATCTCCATGTTTCCTATGACGAAGAGTTATTTTTAATAAGTTAGGCCTCATTAATATTTTTTTTTATAATGATGTTTTTATTAATGTTTTGAACTAAAAGATTTTAAATATTTCTGTCAATTATTATAATTTTTGAATTTAACCAGTCTGTCATAAATCAGTAGATATTTAAAATTGTTTAAAAAATCAGGTTAAAATGTGGAACGTGAATTTCCCGTTATGCATGAGAAGGGAAATCCCGTCTCAAACTAAAAATCCAATCTCGTCCATCCCTATGGATTAGTAATATAAAATCAAACATATAAACCTCTTTGTGGGACAGAATACAGAACACAACAATGGACATGTGGGACAATGGAATAAACAGAAAGATTATGCTTGCACCAACTAGACACAATCACATTATCATTATCAGTTATCAATCCAAAGGGAATAAACAGATCAGAGGGAAAATTACTAAACACAGTTGTTCTGAAACAAAATTTATTTTACCTGTTTTACTTAATATAAAAATTACTTGTATTTCAAATGTGGATTTAACATAAATTCACCATAATTTCTTGTAGTCTTTATAATGGCTTGGTGATAAGATACAAATTAATTAATATATTATAACTGTGTGGAATAGATTATAAGAGAAATAATACTTATTTATGAAAGGAAGTAAAAAGATACCGGTAACTCACTAACTCACTAACTCAATAGACTCAGAGTGAGTTTTGTGAATTACATAAGTCCTTAATGCATTGTTTGTTCTTTGTGTACGGACAGTAAGTAGAATTTGTAAAGCTACCATTAGGATCAGAATAAAGAGTATGACTGTCAATATAAATATGAGAAGGTGGTGATTAGACTGCAGATGAATGGTTTGAATTGGAATGGTTGTGGATGTGATTATTGTTGAAGTTGGAATGGTTGTGGGTGTAATTTCCGTCGGAGTTGGAACGATTCTTGATGTGGTTTTGTTAAATAAAACATCAGAAATCCCTGTCCAAAATGAATGATCGGAAAATCCTTCCTCAGTATCTGTCACAGAAACATCAGTAGAGCTGAATACAGACATCATTTCAGAAGTTGACGTTTCTGACATCGAATCTGTTGTTGGCGCAGAAGTGGTTACAATAGCTAGAAAACAAAAAATATTACTATACTGCTAGAAACAATTTGGTTGAAGCAATACAAACTACTACTGATTGTATGCAAATGACAACAGTTAAAAATATGTGTGCAAATAGTAGTCAACTATAGAGTAAGTTTGCAAATTCCAAGGTTTTCCAAACTGAGTTTAGTGTTTTAGGTTAAGAATATGGTGTGATTCCAGCTTTTGATTAATTTGATATTTTCTCAGTTTGGTACCGTACTGGTATTGTGTTTGACAACATTTAGAATGGAATCATCAGTTAATCTTCTATTACTAAAATAACTTCAGATGACTGTTTGGTATGAGTTAGCAAAATGAAAGATGACTAAAAACAGCTGTGTATAGCTGTAATGTCCTACCATAGATAAAACATACTCCCTTAGTAGATTTTTCATCCTTATGGAACAGCTGAAGACAATTTTATTGTTAGTTCATGTACGGTTTATGTAGAGGTTGTGTTTTGTTTACAATTTGTTTCCCGTTATTACAGCCATTTAAAACCTCGTTTGAACAAATAATACGATCTAATCATAAACAATAACTTGTCCCCTAGTTATATAACCAAACAGTAAAGCACAAATCAAGAAATTAACCCTAAAATAATGGAAACAAAGTTTCATCGACACTAGCGCCTTTGTGTCACGTACATGAACTAGACACGAAAAACGTGCTTCAAAATTTACAATGGGATGAGAAGTCTACTTGTGTTGGTTAGTCTATGGTCCTACTATTTATCACTCTGAGTTTTGTGAGGTGCAGAAGCAGAACACGGCAATACTTATACTTATACTTATACTTTTCTTTGAAATCCAAGTCAGCTTTCCTCTGATCATTTATTTAAATTATTGATTAAAAACAGTACCTGGTAATGGTACAGTTTTCATAGAGCGGATCAACTACAATTCTACCAGCAGACTGGTAACAACTCTGCAGCTACCTGTACAAGTTGTTCCTTCACCAGCTAAATTATAGTCATGTTTGACAGACAAAATTATTACATTCTACCAGTAGACTGGTTACAACTCTGCAGCTACCTGTACATGTTGTTCTGTTCTCAGCTATGATCATGTTTGACGGATAACTACATTCTACCCCCAGACTGGTTACAACTCTGGATTTACCACTACAAGCAAGAGGGGACCACAGAGGATTTAAAAAAAACTTTTTTAAGAACAAAACATTTTTTTTGGAACAACAAATTAAAATCTTTTTTTCTATCAGTTTGCCACTACTGCAGGTGTCGAAAATGATGTCCCCGTGATTGCGGCCCGTGGGAGATGTACACGATTTAGCCACAGTCGCGGGTGTTGGTGACCGTATTCCCTTGATTAGGGTAATTGTTCACGATTTCTCCTTGGTCGTGGTAGACAATGATGATTGATATGTGATTGTGGTCCACAGGAAATGTTCACGATTCCACTGCGGTCGCGAGTGTCTATGATGGCATTGCCTTGATTTACGGGAGATGTCTACGATTTCATCCGTGATCGCGGCTGACAATGATTATATACCCTTGTTCATAGGAGATTTTCCCGATTTTACTGCTACTGCAGGGCATTTCCACCACAGAGTTGGTGGCCACTTAAGTAATTTGGCCTAGGGAGGGCCGCAAGTACCTTAAATCTGGTACTGTGTTTAACAGATCATTATACATTCTAGCAGACTCGTTACAACTCTTCGTCTACGGCTAGGGCCACACTTGGCGACTTTGACGCGGCGACAAAGTCGCAGCGTCAATGAATGAAAGTGCGTAGCATTAAATTAAATGGAGGCGGCCACACTAAGCAACTCGCGACCAGCGACCACCGGCGACAGAAAAATAAACGCGACCGGGAGCGTTTTTCGGTCGTGGCGACAAATACGCTCCCCATGTTATCTTATGGCACCGGCCATACTAGGCGACAAGTCGCTCGCTCACACCCCCTTTGCTTCTCTATTTTCATATCTATATTATTTAGTTTTGGACTGGCATGGAAAATATGCTTTTAAAATACAAATATTTTCATCGACAAAATAGGTGTTGGCATATTTACATGTGTCCTGTAGCATATATGAGATTTTACTCGTCTGGTATAACAGGAAACCAAAACCTCGTGTATTTTTCAAATGTCGTGCGTTCAATGTCAGCCAAAGCTATGCACATAAAAAATACTACAAAAAGTTACAATATCAAAAACGCCATCCATAAACAATGATGTTTCAGGTAATTCACTCCATACCTGTGGTTTCTCATCCTTTAGGGAATTTTCCAAATAGAGAATAAATTATTACGGTTTGCATGGTAGGACCTAAGCCCGGGACCGACTTATTTTTCGTTTTGAGGTCCTCAGAGGCAAAAACTCCCACCGTTAAAATTCATATATATAAGTACATATGTATCTATATATATATGCAGTGTATATATTTTATATTTATATAGGTCTATGTGACCATTAGGGCGATAACTTAAGCAAAATTTATAAGATTTTAATGGTATTTGGTACAAATTTTTAAACCAACGTTAATTCAAACGGGCTCGTAAATTAGAATGATCAGACTATGAGAATGGGGGTTTTCGGGGCTTTAGTGGGGTATAACATTAGTTCTTTCTTATTTTTGACCCTAAAACATAAATTTACAATGCCCTTCCAAACTGTTTTGTTAGCTAAAAAAAATAAATACTTTTGTCCTTTTAAGCGTTGTTGTAAGCCTAGCGGTTACGGAGATAATTTAAACAATTGTAAACTTATAATGCCCGTTTTTATGGAGAATAAACTGTTGTAGTTTGCTTGTTTATAGATATATCTTAATAACATATTAATATTGTTAATTTCGTACTAAGCTATCAAAATTTTAATTAACAAGCACACCTTATTAGGTTACCTTATCTGTACCAACAAACCTAAGCATACATTTAAATTCATCTTATATAAGTTGGAAATAAATCCGACAAGTTTAGGTGAATATTTTAGTGGAAATCTAGCCAAACAAATGTAAATTCGCTTAGTCTGTAGGTTTTTTGCGGCGGGGGTATTTAGATATACAAGAGATTGCAACATCAAGCATTAAACAGTGATCTGACGATTTAGACGTCCACATTGGTTTTAGAAACACAATTTAACACTTTTATTTAGTAAAAATTGTATACCTTTGATGCAGGTAAATGGTTAAAAACTATTTCGTGACCTAGTACGAAATATAAAGAGGCACCGGTGCACGTACGAAAATACTTTAACTATATGATACAATTTGTAAGATTCGCTTGAATTGTATGATACTACAAATAATAGTAAAAAACGTCAATTTATTCTAAGATCATCCAAAAACATACATAAACAGTCATGGATCCTTATTTATTTCCATAATCAATGACACGATTTTAAAAGTACAATATAACATCTCGAAACTCTATTTTTACTGGTATGGTAAAAAGTAAACTGAAAGGTTGAAATTGTCGCCTATTGTGGCCACCCCTAGTGACTTTGTCGTCGCGACAAAGTCACGCGCGTCAAAGTCGCCAAGTGTGGCCCTAGCCTACCTGTACAAGTTGTTCCATCCCCAGCTAGAGTCATGTTTGACGGACATTCTACCAGTAGACTGGTTACAACTCTGCAGCTGTGAGAACAGTTCAGCTGCCGACAAGAGTATTCTGTTCCTGCACTGTGAGCTTCTTGTGAAAATATTTTCAAGTCATTGATTTTCTGAAAAAAATAATATTCTTTTACTTTATAGAATCGTTATTTTACTTTTTCTATTTCTAGTTACTTCCAAAATTTTAAGGCTCTTCTTTGACCTGAGACCTGATAAAATTCCATGAGTATTAAATCAAAATATTTTCAACTGCAATATAGGTTGCAATGGCAAACTGTGAAGTGGACACAATGCTGGAAAAACTTCAATTTCCAATGTATCTTTTATATCATTGTAACCAAATAGCAATTACTGCAATAAATTTGTAAAAGAATGCTTGTCCACCTGTACATTTCTTAGGGGGTTAGAAAACAATAAAATTTCCTCATTAGATGTATCAGAATAATTCAGATGATTTAGAAACAATAAGATACCATACCAACTTATTCTATCGTTAGCGGACATTAAAATATGTATTCAAATACTGTATTACAATATGATGAGAAGTATACTTGGAGATAACAAAGTTAATAGGTACTGAAGCTTGGTATCAATACATACACCAACACATTTGATCTGTACCAGGGGTCAACTTTGTTTGGATAATTAATTATGGTTTTTACTCACTTTCAACTGAACTTTTATGTAGATTAAATTTGTCACAAAAACAATGTTGTATGGTCGCCATTTCATCAAAAAGTATTAAAAGTAAAGTATTAAAGTATTAATGAAATTGATAATAAACCACGATTTGTGTGATTTGGTTATTCCAATTCCAATACAGATGTCAGAAAACATTACCTGAGTATCAGTAAAGATTGCAGCCAATTTGTCTATTCCACCTTTGGGTGACACGTGTCCTTTGTAAATTGTATAATTTTCATTTTCTTGGTTGCTCCATACAATCAACCCATTGACAGTGCTTAATCCGCGTGGCTTGGCAAGTTCTGGTCCACTGTATAGAACTTTGAAGGTCGAGAAATCGTAATTACAACTAACTAAGAAATTGTTTACGTCATCTCGGGTGAATGAACCAATCACATAAATAGTTTCCTGTTGAACATCCACACTCAGTTCCACAACAGTTTTAAAGTGGTATTTAGACAACTCATCCGATGTACATTTTTCCTTGCATTTTCCAAGTTTACCTCCATCTACTAAATAAATTTGAAACCTGGAAATTACATTGAAAGTTTACCGATTAATGTTATATAGCTTTTAGTCGAGCTACTTGTGGAACCTACGTTTTCAAATTATTAGTACCTATTTTAAAATAATTAAACTGATTAATCTAGATGTAGACTATAAATCAAATCAAATCAATCTTTTTCATAATTTGTACATGAGTAATCATACAACAGAAAAGTGTAATTTCCTTATAAGGCTGCGGATCTCATTTGTTTTCTAGAACTTGCTACATTCATAAAACTGTACCTATAGTATATTGATGAAATTATTTTTCACTCCAAATTTTTTAGATTAGTGTGAAATTTGGGGACCTGAGCGATTTCGCACAAATACTATATTTTATTTTCCTTGTTCTTTTTCTTCTTCTTAAAAAAAATTGATTCAGTTTATAAACCCCCTGAGGATAACAAACTAATTGGCTCTATGAGAAGTCCTGGGGAGGATCCCTGCCTTTGATGGCCACAAATTTGACTGTATAACTTTAATTATATAATAGATATTTTCTGTCCCAATATAGGCTAGATATACAGGGTGTTTATAAAAAAACTTTACAACTTTACCATCCTCTTCCCGTGAAATAACAGTTTTCTAAAAACACCTTATGAAAGAGAGCTAAAAAGTTTAAATCTGTAGCAGTTTTATCAGCTAATTGGCTTATGTTGTTGCTTGAATTTATGAATCTCGTTAAAATCTCAATGGAAACTCGTATTGAAGTGCAGTGTTTAGAGTGATTCATTGAAACCAAGCCAAATGGGTTGCACCGAAACTCCCCCGCAAAACCCAGGTAGACACCGAAACTCCGCCTCTACCCGTAATCCCACCCCAGCGGCGCACCGATATTCCCCCGCTGTCCTTCCAGGAATACAAGGGGAGGCAATGACGGGGAGAGAGTTTTTGTTGTCATTGTAGAACGTGGAGATTCTCCCAAAACCCTTCATACATCTCTCAGGAGAGAGTGTCTACTGTCGAGTCAAAAAGAAAGATATAGATACTGTACTCGAGTTTAAGCTTTTATTACAAAGTAACCAGTAGACTTAGAAATATACAAGTTACTGTACATCATTTTAAAAAAAAATTATTTCTCCGTTTATGTGTGTTGATTTAAAATTATTTATGCAGCTTCAACTTAACTTTTCAGCGGGTTGAATGAAAACATACAGGGTTTCGGCGCTTTTCTAACAACGGGAGACATTAACATTTTATAACAAAAATACTACTGATGCATTCGTCATAAAATTACCTTTAAAAGCATATTTATAAATTTTAAAAATCTGTTACTGTATGGTTTTTGTAAAGACATTTTATATCTGCGATGGAACAAGTAAACTAGTGGAACTAGAAAATATGCGTCTGCTTGCGAAAAGATATTAACTCTTTAACTCCAATTTATAATCGGATTCCCCTGTTATTACTCCTGTTCCCTGTTATTAGGGAAGAACTTATTAACATGGTATAAGAGTTAAGACCACGACCACCTTTTTTCATTGTGTGGTCCTTTAAGGAACACAAATTAAAATTACCTCAAAAGAACTTGTAAAGTGACAATCATAACATTAAGGTTGGAAACCATCAGGATTGTTATAGGTTACTCAATAGAGGATTTTATTTATAAATTTAATTTAATTTTCAAGACTTTACATTTATTAACTTATAAAACTTAAAACATATATTTACGCTTATAAATACTGTTACTCACAATACGGTAAATATACAAAAAAGATGGTAAGTGGTGATCGATTTCAATTGGACACTCCAATCGTCATCAGACCCAATAGGCAAGATTCGATATAAACTAAAAATATTTTTGTACAAGAAAAATTTTACTTAGAATGAAACAACGTCTTCAAAATAAATCATCAAAGAATTACAGAAGTCAGCAAGTCATAAATTTTGCGATTGTTTTGACTTAAGATAAGGTTGCGGTCGTCGCACGCGGTCACAAACCTGGCTTATTAATTGGGCCAATATCCCGAACAAGTCCAAAAAAATTCAGAAATACCGGATTTTAAGCAACACATCCCTCTTAACTAATACAAGGTATTTGGACTGTAATACCCATTACAACAAGCTATTTAACTTCTTAAAACATTGTAACTTGTTTAAAAAAATTGTATAATGTTTTTCTTGAGTTTGGGTGCACCAACTAATATTTAGTTGTTAGGTAGTTCATAATTTCTGAACATATTAAATGAGAAACGATTACCTCTAGCAACATAATGTTGTCCTTTTTCTCGGGAAAAGAGTTTCCCAGAATCCAAGGGCTTTACCTTACAATTCTTTTGGCTACAACGGCACTTTTCTTCTCCACTCTTCAAAACCCCTCAAGAATAAAAAAAAACATAATTGTCTTTCACCAAATTTACTTGTTCTTGCTCACAAAAAACCTAGCTAACTTTACTGAACGAACTACAGTACTTAACTAAGCAATAAAACGAACGCACATAATCACGGAGTACTACTCAGTTAGAAAACCTAAGCAAAGCTGAAATACATATTTAGGGGTAAAGTAGTTTGTACATAGTACACTATTTGTTATGTAGTTGACCAATTGACAAGACACCTTGCATCATTGGTGCTAGGAAGGGGGGGTTTGGAGGGTGGCATTCCTGAGTCATTACGCGGTATGACGAACCTGGTGGGCTCAGGTACCTGCCATCCTCGCGGGGGAGTTTCGGTTAGGGGATTAGCGAACCCTTTTGGTCGAGGTAGTATGCGGGGAAATTTCGGTGCACCGAGCCAAATGTTGTCTGACTTAACCGTGTTTTTTGTGTGGAGCTTTGTTGAGGTTCACCTCTATACAAGTAAAGTAAACACCAAAGAAGAACTCAAAGAAAGAATCAGGAGAGCGTCTGCTGAATTATATTTTTTAATTTTAGGTTGTGTTTGGTCCAAACTGAAATTTAGACTTTTTTGTTTTTTTCTACACCAGTTTGGCATTTTTTATCGATGTCTAAGTTAGTTATATGTGAGTCCAAACGCTTTTAAGGGAAAGCTGTCCAAACCTATTTAAGATTTGTGGATGCGCGGGAGTCGAACCTGTCCCTCCAGCACCGAAATCAGGAACGCTAACCCCTAGGCTAGCAACCCATACAACACTTGATTATTTGGCGTCCAAATAAGGGAAAACACATCGAAGTTACGTCAACTCCTTATTATGTACCAAAAATTGAAATGATGACTTTGATTTTTATAAGTGGAAAAGTAAAGGTTTTATTGTTGTTTAACTTGTAATGTTTTTTATAAACACCCCGTACACTTATCAAACCCAATATGAATCCACTCACCTTAACAATGGTTCAAAATAATAGTGAGTAATGTGATGAGCATTATAGAGTCTTGTTTGCTTATTAGACCCATCAAGATTACATTCCGAAACATTTGATTCACTTTCACAAGACCATCTGAGTGTGTTTCCCATCCAGTTAAATGTTAGATCAGTGACACTATCACATTCTGTTTCAACTACTGTGATTGCATGAATGTATGTCATTGATGAAGGTATATAGGTTGACCTGCAAATTTAACTTATGATTAATCCACCAAATATATTCATACAATTCAGTGACATATAAAGGATTGAGTCTAAACTTGCTCCTAGCTCAGAGGCTCCTTCTTATGTCTTTGATATAGGAGCAAAAATTTTCATTTCTTTTATTAAAAAGGGGTGTTCTCATTTATTTTAGTAAATGAGGTTAAGAAAGGGAGGCTGATCACAACGCTGAACTTATGTTCCCTTATAAAGGAAATGAAAGAAACCCCCTTGCAAACAACCCCAAGACACAAGTCATTCAAGTTTGAATGATTGCTGGCCATCCTAAATATAATGTTATAACTATTAAGATTAATATGATCAGTAATTTACACCCACATCAAAAATATAGTCAAAGATCAAAAATAATTTATTAAAAAAAAAATAAAATGTTACAAAGATTTTAATTACATACGGATGGTCCCCACGTAGGCAAAGCCTGTACATGGAAAACGAGTTGTATCAGTCCATTACTACAGAATCTTTGAAGTCCATTCAACTTTGGTAATCTATGTATTAAAATCTATTTTCTAGGTAGACAGCAAGCTGTGACAAGCATAGGTAGTGAAAATGTTATCTATATAATTAATACGCTACATGAAACTTTGTCAGTTGAACTCCTCCGCCATTTCTTAACCGATTTTATCCATTGACGTCTCATTGGAAAGAGCGTGTTGGGTAGATTTGCAAGCTGGCCTTACATTTTTGAAAAAGTCCCTTGGGCTCTGCCCTAGTGGCTTTGAAAGTTTCCATGTTATCCTTAAGAAGAACATAATTGTTTACATTTTGATCAGCTGTATAATTTAATTGCTGTTATTTATTTCTCAATTCAACAAATGGGTGCATTCACTGATTAGGTATTTACTCAGGGGAGGTATAGATGAGCTTACGATGACAGCTGTGGGATTCTCATTAGCTGAGGGAACACCATTAGGTTTGCAGCCATCGGCCTCGGTGGTCTAGTGGTTAGCGTGCCGTGCTGATATGCTGAGAGTCCCGGGTTCGAATCCCGCTGGTAACACTACACTAACTGTTTTACTAAGCTTTTTTCATTATCAGCAAGTTTGGTTGGTTTGGTTCGGTTATGACAGTTTAATTTTATTATTAAGTCATTATAAAATTTTAATTGAGCAATTTCTAGTTTTATTTAATGAACAGAATTATTTTTTCTATTAATAAACTTTTTTATATTATTTCATTATCAGCAAGTTTGGTTAGTTCGGTTAGGTTATGATAGTAATATTTTATAATAAAATACCCCCGCCTCAGCAAACCTGCAGACTAAGCGAATTTCCATTTGACTGATTGGATTTACACTGAAATGTCTACTTAAAAATATAACATTTATTCTTGATTTAAATAGAATTAGTTTAACAAGTACTTAGGTTTGCTGCATCAGGGAGGGTAAAACTGTTATTTTTTGTAAAATGTGAATAGTTAGTAAGAAATAAAAACATTTTCCAAATTTGATCAAAATATGTTCACAAACAAGCAAACTACAAAAGATTACTTATTCTCCATAAGAATAACATGGGAATTTTAAATTTACAATTTTTTGGAATTTTCTCCGTAACCATTAGGCGCATAATAACGCTTCAATATACTAAATTTGTTTTTTTAAGCTCTACAAAATGGTTTGGAAAGAAATTGCTAAATTTTATGTTTTTTGGGTCAAAAATGGGAAAAACCTATTTTTACCCCATAAAACCCCCCGTAAACCCCCGTTCCCATGGTCCGATCATGCTGGATCGCGAACTCGTTCGAATAAACGTACGTTTACACGTTTGTACCAAATTTCATCAAAATCGGATCATTTTTGCTCGAGTTATCGTGCTGACGGACACATATATATATATATATATATGAATTTGAACGGATGGTGTTTTTGGCCTCTAGGGACCTCAAAATGAAAAAAAAAATCGGTCCCGCGTCCAGGTCTTACCATGAGTACTACGGTAATAGCTTAATCCCTATATGGGAAATTCGCTAAAAAATTATAAAATTGAATTTGAGGCATTTATAGTTTTATTTTATGAACAGAACTATTTTTGCAATTAGTAAACCTTTATTGCCAAAATGCTCTCTACTATACAGCGCTGTTCGCGGAGGAATTTTGAACTAATGCCTCAATCGTACCTCCCCTAAGTCAGACCCTTGTAGCGGGGGGCTGTTTGGTGAGGGGGTGCGGGGTTAAGGTATGGGATGGAGGAGGGAAATTCGGGTAATCAGAAGGGAATAAACAGGGTAATGCTAATAGGTTAGGGAAAGGTGTGTCTGGACCCAACTTAATTTCAGCGTGCTGAATCTGCTACCAATACAATTAGGAAGATTGCTGGGGACCAGAGGGACGGAGACCTTTTACCCAGATCAGAACATTTGCCTAGCCAGCTTTGATTTGAACTAATGGAACTAACTATTTAAATATAAACCTATCCTTCCACTATGAACTGAACTTGGGTAATTACTTACTAATTATTGATGAGCAAATGAGTGATATGTAATTGAATACTGAATGAGAAATAAGTATGAATTGATTTAAACTATTAAGTTACATTCTGGGAACATGTGGATTAGTATTCATGTTTCGAACTAAGTTGTCAATTCCTACATTTCCATAGTCGGGTGAGCCAGAAGGGCTCCCCGCTAGTTACCTGACTTAGCCAGACATTTTCCCTACTTAATTTCTACATATTAACTAACTATGATAACTTATCCCAAACATCGAAGAGAAGTCCTGGACTTTTCGGAGAGGTTTCCTGTGTAGAAGCCGGTTGTCGAAGAAGGAGGACAAGACTAGGAAAGGTGGGGATAGAGCATTGATGCAGTCGCGGCAGGCAACGAGATGAACATGCAGCCCGGCTTCGCAAACCGCACACACTATAAAAAAATATAGCGTGCCGCTATGCGTCACAACCTACTGATTATGATTTGGTTGAAATGAAATATTTACTACTTTAATTTACATTCGTACATATTACAATGTAAAAAATCGAGAAAGCCTAGGCAATTTGTAATATTTTACCAAATTGAGAAAAATGAATTTGACATTGTACTGTATTTCATGAGCAATCATTGAAAGAACCGATTTTTTAACCATGGAAACATAGGAAAGTTATAGAAAGCCACCAACTAAAAGAAATAGAGATTTTAAAAAACCATTTACTATCGTTATCATCCTATATAATGAAGAACACCTACCTAAGATTCCCCAAAATAATGAACAAGGATGTTAGCCCAAGTGCTACTATTTTGTAGGAAACAACTTAACTTTATGATGATTGGCAAAGGAAAACACTTTAAGGCTGAATTAAACTGGCTCGGCAAGGACACTAAATATATGTTTTCATAAAAGTAAAGTGATTTTAAAATAATATGACTACATCCAAGAAACTTTAATAAAACTTTCACTGAAGGATTTGCATTATTTCACATTTAAGGGAAACAAAAAACCATCTGAACAACATTAGGCCTTTCAATTCTGCATTTTTTCAGGTAGATATAACTTTATTACGTTATAACAGTAACTAGCCAAATTAATGCCAATTGAAGCAAATAAAATTGTAACAGAGAGGTTAAATGCAGAAAATCAGGCAGTTCTTAAGTAATGTAAACAATACCCCCGCCGCAGCAAACCTGCCGACTAAGCAAATTTCCATTTGTCTGAATTGATTTTCAGTTAAATATATTTTAATAACATTATAGGTTTAACGAGTACCTAGGTTTGCTGCTACAAGGAAACTAATAAAGTGTGTTTTTGAGTAAAATATTGATAGCTAGTACAAAATAAATAAATTTGCCAAGTTTGATCAAAATATATCCATAAACAAGCAAACTACAACATTTGACAATATTCTCCATAAGAATAACATGGGAATTTTAAATTTACAATTTTTTTAATTTTCTCCGTTACTAATAATTGAACAAAAATACTTTTATATACTAAATTATTTGATTTTTTAAGCTCTTTAAAAAGGTCTAAAGAGAAATCGGGAAATTTTGTGTTTTGAGGGTCAAAAGTGAGAAAACCCAATTTTTACCCCATAAAACCCCCCGTAAAGCCCCGTTCCCATGGTCCGATCGTGCTGGTTCGCGAACTCATTCAAGTTTATCCCGCTTTACACCTTTAAACCAAATTTCATCAAAATCGGACAAAAATTACTCAAGTTATCGCGTTCACGGACGTATATATATATATATATAAGTCTATATATATATATATATAAAAATTTGAACGAATGGTGTTTTTGGCCTCTGGGGACATCAAAATGAAAAAGTAAATCGGTCCCGGGTCTAGGTCTTACCGTGCCACCTACGGTAATAGCTACTTCCCTATAGGGAAATTCGCTAAAAGGTTATCACTATAAAAAATTACTGAAATTCGTAAACGTACTGGCGACAACGGGTAGTACTATTGACTATATGGTAGTACCATGCAGACTACATTATCATTGACAAAGATCAACATGGACAACCCAATGCGGCTATAAGTGGGAAAGATTTATGAATACACTAAAAAACCAGATCAGCTTTTGAAAAATGATAAAATATTTACAAGAAATGTTGACTATATGGAACTGTTAGGTAAGTAATCTATGAGTTGAGTCTTTTAAACTCATGGAAAATTATGACTTATTCTTTTTTAAATCACTACTATACTTCTTTGCAATTGCTCGATTTCGAGCAACATGTACACTAGTTGTTATTATAGCAGGCACAAACAATTTTCACGTTAAAGGGCGCTGTAACAGATTTGAAACAAAAGCTAGATTCCTTCCTAAAAAGTGTGTCTGGTCCACAAATCCTCCTTGTTGGTTTACCAGCTAGACATGATTCTCTCTTTATGAACCGAGTTGTGGAACAAACCCTTGTCATCATAGGAAACTGGTAAGTTTTTCTAGAATTTTGACTTTTCTCCAGACATCTTTAGCAGATTTCCCTATAGGGAAGTAGCTATTACAATGGTATGTGGCAAGGTAAGTCCTAGGCCTGGGACCGATTTACTTTTTAATTTTGATGTCCCCAGAGGTTATAATTAACAACTATAAATTGTTATATGTATATATAAGTTATGTTATGTGTATATATGTGTATGTGTATGTTGAACACGATAAATTGAGTAATTTTTATTCGATTTTGATGAAATTTGTTTTAAAGGTGTAAGGTGGGATAAACTTGAATGAGTTCACGAACCAGCATGTTTGGACCATGGCGGGTTTTATGGGGAAAACTTGATTTTCTAATTTTTGACCCACAAAACACAAAATTTCCCAATTTTTCTCTACATCTTTTTAAAGAGCTTAAAAAACAACTAATTTAGTATATCAAAGTATTTTTACGGTTATTGGTAACGGAGAAAATTCCAAAAAAAAGTTAAATCCCCATGTTGTTCTTATGAAGAATATTGTAAAATGTTGTAGTTTGCTTGCTTATGGATATTTTGTTCAAACGTGGCAAATTTCTTCGTTTTATACTAAGCTATTAATAATTTACAAAAAAAAACTTTATTAGTTTCCTTGTAGCAGCAAACCTAGGTAATAGTTAAACCTAATGTTATCCTAAATAGATTTCATGGAAAATCAATTCAAACAAAATGGAAATTCGCTTAGTCGGCAGGTTTGCTGCGGCGGGGTATTAATATTTACGCCAACCCAAATTCAAATAGTAGCCAAAATATTTCATTTCAACCAAGTCAGTAAATGTTTGTAGCACACGTTTCCTTAAATTGCAACTAATATATAATTAAATTATACAGCTGATCATAATGTAAACAAATAATATGTTCTTCATAAGGATAACATTGGAACTTTAAAAGACACTGGGGCATTAGCCCAAAGGGACTTTTACAAAGTTTTGTGTAGTGTACTAATAGATTTTAAATTTATAAATGGCTTTCGTTTCTACTTACTTTAAGATATTGTTCTTAGACACAAAGTATATCTCTTGTTTTTTGTAATCATAATCGACAAGGCCAGTATTCATTTTAGTAAGCTGCCAAACGGTATTAGATTTCCCAGGACCTTCTTGAACAATCATCTTCAACCCATTTTCAGCTGCAACCACCAAAACTAGTGGTTCGGTTTCTGTAAATGTTTTTCAGTTAGCTATGATTTGAATTCCATGCAAAATAAGTGAAATATAAAATATATAACCACATCTCATGCAATACTAGGGTCTAATAAAGTGACTCTTTTGACACCAGCTCAAGCTTTGAGAAAACAACTAAAACAAGAAAGTTTTGAAGAAACATTTTTGGGCCATGTGGTGAAGGGTGTGGTTACTAGTATTGCGGTCCGCCACTAACTTGTCCATTGCTGTGTCCGATCAACGTGAGCATGATGCTAGTGAGCGCCTTGTTTTAAACATTTTATAAATAAAAAGATAAATTAAGAAGACCCCTGAAGGTGGCAAAATGCTTAGGGCGACAAACATCATACCCCCTCAAGAACACAGGCAACAACAACAAAGGTATATAAAAATAAAAAAGGTATATAAAAAGCTTGGATAATATAGCTTCCTTTGTTTTGTACAGAAGTGAAATAATTGATTCAAAATAAAGAGTGTTGTTGTAAAAGAGACTTTTTTTAATACTTTTCTTTGAAATGGCGACCATACAAAGTAGGTATTTTAAGCCAAGTATGAATGGAGATGAGTGTATGATGAGTGGCGCGATCTTGTAGTCTTGTTAGTGACTAAGGCCGACATATTCCTTAGATACAGCTGTTAATTAATAGCCCATACAGCTAATGGCGACTAAGGGACCTACAGTTTATAGTGGAATCCGAACCACTTTTTTTCCTTGGTATATACGAATTGGTCTAATTATCAGGATAGTACTGCGGATAGTCGTAGTACTCACCTGTGCGGACGTTAATCCACACCAGGGAGTATCGCATCCAAAGTGCATACCTATAAATATCCACAATTCGTGACCTCCTAGTAGCTGGATTACAGGACGACGCCACCCGTCCCAGACTTCATTTACACATACCTTCAGGTAGGATTTGATATAGTGACAAGGTGTCATTTCCTCCACACCAACGAGTGTTGTCCTCTGTACAAGGATAGCAGAAGGAATTGTCCTCGACAGTCGAGTGCTTCCTTATGTCATTACCACAGAAACAAGTATTCTTTCTGGAACAAAATAATAAGGTAGGTTTAAGATTATTTTATTTTTAACAAATAACCATAAAAAATACTACCGTCGCAGCAAATCTGCAGACTGCAGCAAAAACAATTGTTATAATATTGAGAAATAAGATAAAATACAATATGTTATAGTACTCGTAGCACTCTTTATGTTCGAGCACAGATAATATAACCCTTCGAGGCTCTTCTAACTAAGAACTTCTAAGAATATTTTATCCACATTTGAAAGTTATTTTATCATAGGATAGAACAATAAATAATGGTCCTGGCTAGTGAAACAGCTTGTAACAATTTTATGAAATTTATATTTTAAAATTTTGTCATTTAGTAAAGCAGTAAACTTATTAGTTTTGTCAAAACGTGATGTAAGCCTGCAACCACCGTGTGCTCTCTGATTGGCTGTTCATGGTTCAATCCTATGAAAAGATAGTCAGAGTGCCTACGTCACAACCGAGCTTATAAAAGGGGTCGGACCACGTGGCTCGGTCTCATTTGGTCAGTGTAGTAATGTTGTATCATGTGAAATTGCTTAGTGCACATAGTCCCCTTTGTGGGTAAGTTTCAGCTTTAATTTTTACAATATTATTTTATTCATTGTTGTGAGTACGGAGGGTGCAGGCAGGCAGTGGTCTTTTTATTTAATAATTTTCAGCTTCATGTAAGAATTTACTTTGGCCCTTCAGGCAATTAAAAATATCTTTTGTTTTTAGGGTTCAACTACCAGAGAGGAATAATTCAATAAATGGGAATTAAAACTAAAAGACTATTGATTAATTAACCAAGAACACCTACGAATTTGTACTGGTTTAAAAGACATTTTAAGAAAAACGGTAGGTACATAGTCTGTAACAAGGCTACATCTCACTCCATTACACACATCCTTCACTCATATTTGGATTAAAACACACACAAAATCACATGATCATGTGAAAGATGAGTGAAAGATATAATATATAACTTGAGTTATATATTATATCTTTCACTCCTTTCACACTATAGTACAGTTTTCCCCGTCCAGTTATAAGCAAAGCCTTACTGCTTTATGCTGTATCGGTATTTTATTCACATTATACGGTTTTAACCGTACCGTACAATGAATGTGTGCGTATAATGAACTGTGTGTGGTGAATGTGTTAAAAAGTAACAATAAACATAAACAGTGTCCAATTATTGACAAGCCAGGTTGTAAGCAATAAATAGTGCAACAGCTGATTGCATCTTATATCTTTTTACAATAATAATGACAATGTCAATAACAATACTGTATTGTTTAAAGACTGAATAAATGGCTATCCATTGACTATTATTGTAGGTACTGTACTGGCCACACCATGCTTTGGGTGATATTTTCCAAGCACGAGCATTTGAGGCCCCTTTCAAAGTGAAATGTAAGTTTCGCAAAACGCAATTTTGCAAAATGATTTTTATACAAACATATAATCCATGTTCAAAAGCCGCATATTTAATGAATTTTAATTTTTATACTGTATTTTCAAGAAAATAACACTACTATTAGTGTGTACAAATTACAGTATTGTAGTTATGTATTGCAGATGACAAACATTTTCTATACTCCACAGTTCCACATGTAAAAGATATACTACCTCGCCTGAACTCCTGCGTAAATTGTCACTTTGTGTGCGCAGAGCTGCATACAAATCTCCCAAGTCACAGGTTTTATGACTGAGTTGTATTTACTGTGCAGGGAAAATGTTGAGGAAAAACATCCTGAGTGAGTGAAGTTCTGTGATCCTACGCATGAAACTGAAAAATATACAATAATTTTCCATGAACTGTCTCAGCAGTGATACAGTATTGAGAAATTAACATTTCCTGGTTTTCCATAATATTTCAAAACATTTTACTCCACACATATATTTAAATATTGGTAAATCTTACTCCTACGATAAGAAGTCAATCAGTCAGATTTGATACTACAAAATTTAGTTTTTAGCAATTGTGAGTTGTTGAAATTGAAATCTTTCACCAGTTACTTCCAAAACAGTACCCATATTGTGAAAGGGGTTTTCACCAAAACGTCATTTAAAATTTTAAAATTTATATTTTGCAGTTATTACAGAAATTTTATGAAAGATTGTTTCCACTGTTGGCCTTAAAGGGGATCTTTCCTTAATTTTGCTCGTACTGTAAATGTAAAATAAATACCTCCATCACAGCAAAACTCTAGACTAAGCTTTGAAATCTAATTTAAATTTGTCGGATTGAATTTTCACTATAATATATCCTTTTACAGGTCTGATTTATTCCCTATTCAAACAGCATCAGGTTTGATAGACAACATCCTTTATCACATGGACATTGAGAGCACTGGCCTAATAAAGTCAGTTATTACAAATACATACATAAAATCTGTATATGCGTTACAGTATGAGTTTACTCAGTTAAAAGAAAAATGAGAAGATGTAATAAACTGTGTTTTTTACTAAAATGTTCTTAGATTCACAGATTACACTAGTCCACCAGATACCTAACAACAAACAAAGTATAGTTCTAAAATTTTACTTAAGCTGTAACATACATAAGGTAGGATATAGCTTTATAAGCAGTTTTTGTTGAGTTATGCCATTCACTAACCAACATAAGTAGACTTCTCATCCCACTGTACTATTTGAAGCTCGTTTTTTGTGTGTCTAGTTCATGTCGGTGACACTGATCACTTGTGTCAACAAAATTTTATTTATATTAATTTAGGGTTCATATTGCATGATTTGTGCTTTACTGTTTGGTTATATAACTAGTGGAAGATTTTTTTTATTTGGTTTAACGAGATTTTAAATAGCTGAAACAACAAAAACTCGGTCCTAGCGGCACCGGACGGAACAAAAAATTGTCATCAGCTGATCCATAAGGATGACAAATCTACTAAGGGAGTATGTTTTATCCATGGTTACGCCATTGAAGTTCATATACTAAAGTGGACATCCCATCTACATGGACCATAGCTACAGCCAACTTAATAAAAGGAAAAACAAAATAGAATGGGCCATTTACTTATACTGTGTGCCACCGTCTTAAGTTATATTTAGTTTTAATTACTGTAATAGTTGATGTGAAATCTATTATATTATTAAAGTGATACAATAAAATTTTATGTAAATGGTTAAGGCCATTAACGAAATAAAATTATAGGCATAAGGCACATCAAAACGAAGCTCAGAGTGTGTAGATTTGCCGAAAAGTATTGGTATGAACAAATTCTCTTAGGGCTCTGCCCCAGAGGCCGATTTCCAAAGGGCTACGCATTACACGTTTTAGAAGTTAACGATATTCGATTAATTTAGTGAACAACAGCTGATCAATGCAATTGACATTAGTTGTTTGTTTACATTTTTGTTTACTTATATTATTATTTACTTTTGGAATGTTAATAAAATAACATAAAACCACTCTGTACCGGTATCAGTTAAACCATTCATGAAATGTCTTTACATTCTTGTTAATTGCGTCTCAAAAGCAAGTGGGACATTATTTTGTGATTGCACTATACGAACGGTGCATTTTTTTCAAATAATTTAATTTACTCTACAAAATTTGGCTAATGGCTAAAGAAAAATATGCAAGTCTCAATTAATTATAAACTCTTAAATTGTAATTAATACATGAGAGAACATACCTGCTTTTGGCAATAGAATTAGCACAGATATTGCAAGAAGATACAGCATCATTATTGAATCCTTCTTTCCCTTCATGTGATTCATAGATTATCACTGTACATCCTTTCCCATCCTTATCTCTTTCCGGTAGATTAATAATAGCTGACTAAACTGTAATGTGATACTCTTTGATGCTGCTGCTGCTATCCTGATAATTAGACCAATTCGAATATACCAAGGGAAAATGTGGTTTGGATTCCACTATAAACTGTAGGTCCCTTAGTTGCAATTAGCTGTATTGGCTATTAATTAACAGCTGTGTCTAAGGAATGTCGGCCTTAGTCACTAACTAGACTACAAGATCGCACCACTCATCCTACACTTATCTCCATTCATACTTGGCTTAAAATACCTACTTTGTATGGTCGCCATTTAATAAGAAAGAAAGTATAAGAAAGATGAGTTGTTCTATGGGGATGGATTGTCTAAACAATCCATCCCCATGCTACAGTTAATTGAGTTTAACCAGGTTTAACACTAAAGGTCTCATTTAATTTAGGGTTAAACCCAAATAACACGCATTTGATATAGGAAAATTAGGTTTTTTGTTATTTACCCAAAAACCAAAAGAGATACAAGTAAGTGTAAATTACAATGTTGTCAAGAATTAAAAAAACCTATAACATGATGTGCCGCTTCACATATGTTGCCATTTGAACATTTTGAACAATGGGCATTTAAACATTTTCAAAAATCATTTATTTTTATTTTTATTATTTTGAAAAACCGTTACTTGTAGTATATCACAGTAAAGCTAATTTCATGACGAGTAAGACAATTCAACCGGAGAAGGGCTAAGTGCATTGGTACCGTATAGGAAACACAGAGTATTAAAAAAATATTGATTTTTTCAAAAAAAAACTGCCATTAATTTGAAACGGAAAAAGATAATTAATTTCTGTTTTCGCCAAAATGTTTGTCTATTACATACCTTTACAATGGTGTATAACATGACATATTATGTTTACGTTTGAAAATTCCAAGATTCGAACTAGTGACGCTCAGTTTTTGGCACACCATGTATCGGAAAAATGTTAAAAATATTTTTATGTTATACCTTGTTGGGGTCGATTTAATAGAAAATAATTTTATTTCATCCTTGTAGGTTAAGCCGTTTTTGTTATCAATTTGAGACACCTCTCGTGGGACACCCTGTTTATAATATGTGTCCGTCCAAATTTTGATGTACAGGGTCTTTGTTAAAGGTTTTTTTAAACTTTTTTTCCTGAAAACTCTGTTTTAAGTACTTTAGAAACCTTGTTGTTTGGAATAAGTGCTGGTGCTGGTCATGATTCATAATTATGAATCAGCAAAGTAGATTTCTAAATTACGTATGAAGTATCAACTGGAATTTCAGGTCATCATATTCAGAACTCACAACTAACTGGTTCTCCAAAGTGTTTATAACCTTCTCTAGTAGGACCAGCTGTTCATGTTTGAAACAATTAAAAACAACACATCTGTCTTTGTCGCATCACCAGGCCCGCTTTTATAAACGGGCAGACTGATGGGCATATGGCCAGGGGCGCCGGTGGTTGGGAAGTGCCTGGCAGGCACTGCAAGTCCACGTTCAACACCATCAAACGTTTTGCAGACTACCTTCCACCAAGGGCGGTCCTAGACATATATTTTGGGGGGGGGGTCACCGGGGGGCCTGGAATACCCCCCAGCAAAGGAGGGGGGTCCGGTTCCCCCCCGGAAAAAAATTTGGAAATATCGTGCTAAAATGAGTGGTTTTTAAGCTATTTTAAGGACCAAAAGTTTAATGTCTTCAAGCTTCCCAGTTTATTTAAAGGTCAAAGAAATTTTTTGAAATTAACTTGTATATTGTCATGTTTTTGCATTATTGAGGATTGTTGTTTTAATAGCGAAGAAATACCGCAACACTACAACACATTCAAGCATTATTGATTTACGAAAATACCCTTTTAACTGGTGCCGATTTGCAAGCTAAACAGAAAATGTCCAAAATCAGACCAAGATTTTGAACCAGAGAACATATTTTATCTAAGAAGTGCTTAAGAACTTGCACCCAACACGACTCCATTATACCTGCCCAGTAAGCAACAGTTAACCTACACAAAGTACACTACCCAACTAACGTTGCCCGTTGACGTCACTGCTACCGAAGAATTGGTTCTCGGTGTTCTCAATTTTTTCTATGCCTGTGGCATTTTACAAGGGGTCAACGTGAGAATAACGTTTTTGTGGTTGTGCCGGTAATTAAATCTGTCCCTTCAGCATCTTAAAAGTCTGTGACACTACCATTTTGTTCTTGTTTCGTGGCTATCAAAATACCAATTGGGTTGTAGTATTTGGTATTCTTAAATATGATATCAGGTACTCTAAATATAAATACTATTTAATATTGAAAGTTTTAAATTTTGCTACGGTAATCATTGAATTACATTTACTGTAATTACAAATTCCAGAAATACGAGCTTAGAGTTTTGTTATTTGAGATTGTTTAGTTTTTTATAGGGTCTTGCCATCTTTGTATGCATTTGTAATAAATAAATAAATTCCTAAAGCTGAACTCAGATAAATGAATATTCTACTATCCTTCAAGCTTTTTGACTATTGATACAACTTATTTTCTTTATCCAATACCTAAATCAAGTTTTCAATCATCTAGTTTAAAGTGAATGATAACATTTAAATGCAAAAAAATAAATAAGAAGAAGAATGCGGCCGAGTGTCGAACGCCAGCCTTGGACACTGCCGTTGCCGTATGTATGAAAGCATGTGTCGTCTGCCGATCTTCCCTACTTTTCATAACGTATAAAAAATAATAGTCGGACTCAAACAATCTCAAGTTTTAGGTTAGAGTTTGTAATTAGCCCTTTCGTTCTTCACAAGTGTAAAGACTACAATGAATTTGGCAGAACGATTTGCAATACAAATTATTAAGGTTCCCCTGGTATAATTGTTAATCTATATGAAAAATATTTTGGGGGGGTCATGACCCCCCTGACCCCCCCCCTGGGACCGCCCTTGCCTTCCACTGAACTTGCAAATCATGTTAGTAAAAACTCTCATCTTGACTCATTTCAACTACTGTGATGTGATGATCAATGACATGACAAATGAGGTTTCTAGTAGACTTCAGCGAGCGCAGAATTCCTGTATCAGATTCATGTTTGGCCTTAGGCGATATGACCACGTAACTCCCTACTTGCAAGTCCTAATTTTGCCTCCTAAATAAAGACATTTTTCATTTCATTTCACGTCCATCTACCGCCCGCACTAAAAAAAGGGGGGCGCTGCTTTTGAGTTTGCCCAGGGCTCCATTGACCCTTAACGTGGCCCTGCCCATGACAGATAAGTAAGTATATAAGGCATAGGGGCAGCTTGCTTATGGGACAACCATGTGCTTTAAATTCTGGTATTTTGTGTCGGGAATTTACTTGTGACGAGCAAGAAAGAGCCCGAGCGGTGAGCACTGTGCAGGAAATTCTTATAGGGCACAAATCTTCCTTCACCGTGAGCGTTGTAGTACATGTGGGCGACAGAGGGTGGTGTTGGAATTTGCACTAGATAACAGCACTGGCACTAGTGCTAGACACCACTTAAGTATAGGCCTACCATGGAGTGTATCCTCTGCTCCTTACTTCTATGTCAATCAGCTGTAAAAGATCAAACAACTACCAATGTGCTGTAATTCAGTCCTAGTTTTAAATAGTTCACTAATTTGTTGTCAGATACCACCTACCAGGGCTGCATCGACGAGAGCGTTTTGTCAAACCGTAGCATTGTCTTTTCACACGTGACAAGGAAGGCTCCTCAAACCACCTTAAAGGATTAAGAGTTATAAATAACACTTTGGTTTATCATTTCATAAAATACCTGAATAACAGATCAACAATTATAATACTGTATGGAATGTAGATTTATCAAAACGGCATAGATCAAAAATATCGAACAAGAAATAGCTTAAATATTAAGATTTTTAGTTGTAAAATAGGGTAGAATAAGGCAGAAGCTAGTCAGGTTTGCCCCATTTTACAACTAAAAATCGTAATATTTAAGCTATTTCTTATTCGATATTTTTAAACTTGGTATCGTTTGATAGGGAATTAAAAATGCTAAATAAAAGCGTACTTGACATTTTTTTCATAAAATTAGCTGTTTTTGAGTAATTTAAGTTTTAAAAATTAAAATGGCCACCATTTTTAAATTTTAAGTTGAATCAAGATGAATTTTTTTCTGCCTTAACCTACTTACCAAGTTTTATAAAGATCGGTTGAAAAATTTCAAAAATAAAAATGTTTTTATAAAATATACAAAACGGCGGATATCTGGTTAACGAAGCGATTTTGGAAAACAGGTTATTCTTGAATTTCTCTTTATTTTGATCCATAGAACCATTTCCCGGAGTTTGGCTGTTTACTTACGGGACACCCTGTATATGTACCTATGTGAAAGCGATAACTTGAGTAATTTTTGTCCGTTTTTGATGAAATTTGGCTTGAAGGTGTAGGGCGGAATAAACTTGAATGAGTATGTGAACCAGCATGATCAGACTATGGGATCGGGGTTTTATGGGGTAAAAATTGGTTTTTCTCATGTTTGATCCTCAAAAGAAAAAAAATTCCAATTTCTCTTAGTACCATATTTAGAGCTTAAAAATACAAATAATTTAGTATATTAAAGTGTTTTTGTACGGTTATTGATCACAGAAAAAATCTTAAATTTAAAATTACTATGCTATTTTATGGAGAATATTGTAAAATGTGGTAGTTTGCAGCGGCAGGGGTATTTTAAGAGTTATTTTGGGTGAAACATACTTAAAAGCACTTTGCCGGCTAGTGAAAACAGCCGGTCTTTGTGAGTAACAAAGCTACACAGATAACCTCACAACATTCTACACTCATCCTTCACTTATATTTGGGTTAAAATACACACCTTCTTGGCGTCCCCATCTGAATTGATGATAATCTATACTTATTTAATACGCAAGTAGGTTTTTTGTGACAATTACTCCTCCGAAACTACTGAACCGATCGACATGTTTTTGGTGTCTTTCGAAAGAGCGTAACGT